AGGACAGAATAGGTCATGTCTAAGGGCTTGTCAACGCTACCCGCCGGATCGGCAGGCAGTGATCGATCCAGCGGGAGTCAATTTATCGCGTCTATAAATTGATCGCTCTCCCGTCGACTCCGGTACTCCACCAGAATGAGAAGCACAAGCGGAGTCAATGGGAGAGCGTCAGCCGTCAACTTACCACAGTGAAGATACCATGGTAAGTAGATCTAAGTACGTCGACTTCGGCTACACTATTCACGTAGCTGAAGTTGTATATCTTAGATCGACCCCCGCGTGGTAATGTAGACAAGCCCTTAAATGTTGTCTATATGGGAAATACTGGAGAAATGGATTCTTTCTCTCTAGCTCCTGGGCTAATCCTCACCGTGGAATCAGTATGAGTGAGATAAAGTCATGGGAACTAGGGACGGATAGACTCTCTATTGAAAGTGAACTGATATTTGACAAGCATGAAATTCCCCGTGGAGGTGACCCCATGGCAATGGAATATATCCACCTTCCTGTATGTCACTGGCCGGGCTAATGGAGCTATATGCTTTCACCATCGCACTGCACCCTTTCCTGCCCACGAGGAGCGAGGTGGTTCCTCCAGTGGCGTTCATGGCCTGCACTTCCAGGCATGTGCAGACATGGGCTGGGCACACCTTATTTGGCTCTCCTGGTGGAGAACAGGGACAGCGGTCTGGTGCCTGGAGCCCCCTTTTCCCGATCTGCACAGGAGAAGTAGGGGAAAAAAGATGGCCCTAGCAGGTGAGGGTAGTAGCCACACTCCTATGCGAATGAAGGGCAGGCTGAGTAAGGATGAACAGCCCCCCAGGTGCTGCCATTCCTGGTCACTGGCTAACCTTTCCCTTTGTTTCTGTAAAGAGGGCAGCACCCCCTGGAGTGGTCGTGGCCTGGGGGCCTAGTGGACCCTGACCAGGGCGAAAAGGAGAACGAGACCGTGGTATTGGTGAACCTCAGCGGCGGCCGGACCATCAGGGAGGAGGACTGCGAGGGCACCGACACAAAGCCCTACTGCAAGGTCTTAGTGCTGACCGGGACCCAGGCTAATGACACCGGTTACTACCGGTGCTATTACAAGTACATCAGCGCCAAAATTGAGGGCACCACTGCGATCAGCATCTACGTGTTTGTGAGAGGTAAGAAGCCAGTGACCGTGCAGCTTCCCCTGCCGTAACCCAGACCTGGACTGCGTGAGCTCACGGGCTGGCCCACATGCTAGCCTTAAAACCCCCCAGGGGAAGTAGCTATCGCAGCAGGTGGGGAGGACTTGCCCAAGCAGAAACGGCTGAGTGGTTCGATTCAGTGTGCGTGGGAAAGGGTCACCTGCCTTCTAAAAGGAGACTGACAAGCACCGGTTTAGAACTGGACAACATGGGAATCTGTATAAACTCCCCAGTTCTACCACTTCACCTCCGTCCTGACCTGAAGCACCCTTGCTAGTCCTCTCCTAGTCCTCTCGCACAGCTGTGCCAGGGCACCTCGCTTCTATTCTGCAGAGCTCCCTGGTAGGTCAATCCCAAGGGCCTCTTCAGCGTAGGCTGGCAGCACCCCACGCTGGCACATTAAGGGTACAGCTGCACCGCCAATGTAACACTCCTAGGCATACCCACACTAGTTTTAACCTAGCTAGCACAGGTAACAGTAGTAGTGTAGACGTGGCAGCACAGACTTCAGCATGAGCCAACTGCCCCAGTACATACCCGGGGCCCCGGCGGGCTTGTGCTGGGGTGGCTATCCTGTACTGAAGCCCTAGCCACCGTGTCTTCACTATTAGTGTTACCCATGCTAATTGACTAAAGCGAGCACTGGTATGCCTGTCCACACTGCATTTGCTGTGCAGACGCGGTTAAGATTACATAGCTCTGTGAATAATACAGGGATGTGGCAGCATCACTGGACCTGAGAAAGGTCTGTGGTGTTCGAGTTTGCCTGGCTACAGGAATATGTACACGCTGGGATGGATGGGGTGAGTGGTAAGAAATTACTCTCGGTATGAAAGATCACTGTTGGTTGGTGGCATCCCTGGTCATCTGGGTGAAGAGGAGCAATTGTGTTTGCCTACTTGCATCAGGGCTTTCAAATCCTGGCTGTGATTAATCTAGGGCTGTCAAGCAGTTAAAAAAAGCAATCATGCTTAATCG